TCAGTAGGATTATAAAAAACTTACCGAAGGAGTAATTTGTTAACGTCAAAAAATACCATTTGCTAATTTTATTTACTCACATTCCATGTAATTTTCAATCGTTTGACATCAAAATTGGGAGCAAAGTGTGTATATGTATCTGTATGTGGGCCAAAATTTGATTTTTTGTCGAATTTTGTCAAAACGACTGCACCATTTAATCGAACTCAACAAGGACCCGCGTTAATTATTTCACGGGACGATCGGACGAGCCGTCTCTTTATAAATAGCAGTTAAGGGGGCGTCTATTAATCACGTGTGGCTTAAAGGGGAAAGGGGGAAGAAAAAAAGGACGAATAATCACGTGAAGGGAGGGGGGACTCACGTGTATTTCTTTTGTACCAGAATTTAAAATAAATCCAAAATGTTTTAAAAAGATTACGATTTTTTCTAGTTACTGAAAATTCACGTGGTGTTTGGCAGGAGAGGGGGGGTCTAACTTTAATTATCATTAAGGGGAAGGGAGGGATCCAAAAATCCTGAAAAAGCGATCACGTCCATTAATGGACGCCCTTTAAGCCCAAAATTATACAATTTTGTCAAAAATCCTGAGCTGATTTTGAAAGCTATCACTTGGGCATATGTTGATTAAAGATCTACTCTGTCGCTTCTTAGTAATTAATTATAAATTTTTAGATATCACGTGTATTTATTTTTCACCTGATTTTTTAAAGTAATTATCTAAACATTTTCAATAAATATCAAAAATTTTACAATTTTTGCTCGTAACTTAAAATATACGTGCTGTTTAGAGATGGAATGGAGGGGAATATTTTGAATTTTACCAAGGGGGATGGGGAGTCCAAAAATCGATCACGTGATTAATGGATGCCCCCTAAGCACGTGTTCATATATCATTCGATCATAGTGTTTTTATTATGTCGATTATTTACACACTTATGGAAAGTACATGCACCTTTCTTTGAGGTAAAATGCCACTTACGCCTTATAGTTTTAAATTATTCAAAATTCTTATCTTTATTAGAAAAATCGTTAAAATGTTGTTAAATATGTATGAAAATGATCAGAACTGAAACAAGACGGAGCGGACGTAAATGTAAAACATTTGAGTGATGTGTTATAAGAAAATGTTTTAAATTATGCAATTTTGTTCAAGTTTGCAAAATATTTTATTAATATTAGTCGAACTACGATTGATGTATTCAATTCAATTGTAATTTTATAAATATATGTCCCAATTTAATTAAATCCATTATAGGTTATAATCAGAGTATACTCAAAATATTTCATTATTCATAACTCAGAATATTTCATTATTCAGTGAAACTATGAACTGATTTTCTGTGATTTTGGGGAGGTTTTTTCAATGAGGATTTTTTATTGATTTTTGGGCTCTACAACAAATCAGGAAGCAATTTAATTTTATTTTGAGCAACCTTTTAGTTCGAAGCTTACGTTTAAATATCATGCGCTTGAAAATGTAGAGACCTTAAGGAGGGTACTCTGTAGGCACAAATTTTATGCGTTTTTTGAAAGGCCGTAAAAATTGGCAAACAATATTTTTTTTATTATTAAATGGTATGTAACAATCAGAATAAAGCAAGTAATACTATGAGCTACAGTCAGAACATAATCTAAACAAATCTATAATGTAAAGAAAAAAAAACTAACTATAATAATAATAATAATAATAACAAATAAATAAAAATAATAATCATAAAAATTATAAAAAGAAAAAAGTAAATAATAATGATAATAAATGTAATAATAGAATAGAAAACTGCTCCATTGATCAGTTATTTAATTAGTTAATTAAATAAATTAATATAAATTATATGGAAATTTCTTCTTCAGTCTTCTTGATCTCCAGTAGTGCTGAAACTATGTGGGCAAACAATATTTTGACTATATATTTTTTTAAAGTTATAAATGTTTGGAAAATATGGGAAAAAAATAAAAATTAAAAATAGTAAAAATACAACTTTTCTTGAAGGTTATAAAGTGGAGGGTCTCAAGATATTGCCAACCTGACCATACCCATGATTTCAGTCCTCCAAATAATGTAATAGAATAATGACGCAATCGTATGAACTACAGATGAGTTAAAAAAAGTTTTTTTTCACAAATAACGACTGTTTAAAAAACATTTTTTACATCTTTTTTTGAATTCTCGATTTTTTTTAAAATAGTAAAATTTGGAATTTAAGGATGAACGTAGTTCAAATTGAAAAAAAGTCTGTAAAAAAGATTCTGTAAATGTTTCAAGTAAAATCGGTCCGTTCAAGTAGAAGTTGGGAAATCGTGGGTATCGCATCGAAATAGACGGTTTAGAGTTATAACTTTTACTGGGTTTATAAACGCTTTGGTGACGTCCATTAATCACGTGAGCGATTTCTAAGGATTTTTGGACCCACCCTTCGAGATACTTGGTGATATTTAAAATTACCCTCTCTCACTTACCAAACATCACGTGTATTTTTAGTATCTAGAAAAAAAATCGTATATATTTTTTTTAATTTTTAGATTTTTTATTAATTGAGGTAAAAGAATAATACACGTGATATTTTGCTAGACCCTCGCCTCTCCCACGTGATATTTTGTCGAACCCCCCTCACGTGATTAATGGACGCACGCCTCTTTGAAGTTTCGCGGAAGAGGATTATCATGGTCAAGCAGCTATATCTCAGAAAATATATATAATTAAAATATAATTTAAATTTCGAAAAATACTCTTGTACACATATTCTTGAATAGTTTAAAAATGCAAAAAAAAACAAAATCGTTTTTTTTTTATACTGAACTGAAATACCCTTAAACATGTGCGTGTCTTCGGTAATTTTGTTGCAAAAGCCATTCAGCGCTCTCTGATGAGACGTTACAAGAAAAAATTAAAATCACTGAATAACAATATATTATATGTATAATAATGTTGAGCAGATCTTTGGCTTCTAATCAATTCTGGATTTGTTTTTTTCATTCCAACACCTTTATTCTGACACTATACATAGTTTTATTCAAACACTATATAAACTATGCCTCCACACGCGAAGGGTAGTAGTGGTAGCCAAAAGCGGTTTTTTTCAGGTCGCTTTCGTGTTAATTAATCTACTGTTGATTAACAGACTCGGACATGATAAAATGAATGTAATATATCCCAGAGGATTATGGATTCAACTAAAGAGTTGTATCTTTTGATATAACTGAATTGGGAGTTAACAGAAATGTTCGGGGTAACATATTATGACATTGGAATGATTGTCCTTATGGACTGACAAATATTCTATACAATTTTTATTTTAAAATACAATACATCTACCTTATAAATTTAACCCTCATATAAAATCTCGGAATTCGCGAGTGCAAAGGGTTAATAGTTTACCCTATGCTCTATAGTGAGTTATAATGAAATTTGGACGAATCTGTTAGTCCAACTTGTAATTTATAAGTCCGGGTTCAAATCAAGCAGTTACTATGCTATATATAAAACATATAATCAGTATTAGAATACTGGGTAGTTGTTTAATGTAAAAAAAATATCAAATAGATAGCACAACTATTAGGTTACCTTCTAAAAAGCTACTTAAGTACATGAAGTAGAAGCCACCTCACAACAAATTATAGAACTCTCAGCTCTGATTGCTGTTCAAAGGAATCTATTTCGTTTCTTTATTTATTAACTTCCCGTAGGGTAAGTTATAGAAATGGGCCGAAAATCGAAAATGAATTTTTTTGCATATCTTCGTTTTAGAGGTTTCTGAACATTTTGGCATACCTCAGAGAAAATGGATGTGTGTGTGTTTTGTGTCCGCATTTTTTCGTTCATGTTTGCGGGCGCACGGATCAACCGGTTTGAATGCTTCAAAATCATTCGATGTGCTGATTAGTTTTTGGAAAAGGCAGGTCCAACCATTACGGAGATACGGAGCAAAGAGTGCAGGAAATAGACTCGAGTTTTTGAGAGAACGGAGTATCCTATTTGAATGATCCAAAAAATGATTTTAAATTTATACATTTCAAACACACTTATAATATCTATAATTATATAAATTACATTAATTTGTTCAACACATTTTATTTCATCTTCTTCGTCTTCTGAAAATGTACAGTGGTACCTCGTTTTACGAGCTGGTCATAAGTGTTTTTCGAGATACGAGCAAAATTTTTGATACGAGCTGCCAAAGGAGTGATTCGAGAGCGTGCGAGTGAGAGGCATAACGTAAACTTATGGCGGTGCGAATGAAACAGAATAATCTATTAGCAATTATAACAAGGAATTTCGTATGTGAAGTCGCATTTATCTATCATACAAATATTAAAAGTAAATTATTTTGAAGTTATAAAATTTAATTCATTAATTTTAATGTTATGCATTTGTTTGTGCAATGTGGATCAAATCTGAAAAGTTCGTGGATAAAAATTACCTCGAAAAAAATGTAGCTGGAGTTTTTGACGAGATAAGTCCAGCTCATTTTTGCAATATGAGTTGAAGAAAATAATGCTCATTCGATAGTTTTCTTGAACTCAAAAACGAGTATAATGATAATTTAGTAATTTCTTATTCAGAAATATGCTAAGTTTCTGCAGAGTATGTATTTGATATTAGCAATAAATGTTTTATTTATTTTTATTATTAATAAAAACACTGTGCTGGAACGAATTAATAGCATTTCAATGTATTTATATGGAAAAACTTGCTTCAAGATATGTACAATTCGACATGCGAGCGTGCTTACGTAACGAATTAAGCTCGTAAGGCGGGGTACCACTGTATTTTGAGTGTGGACGCCAGTAATCAGTAGCTATTAACGAAATACCACAGAACGTACAGACTTCTGACATAGATTCTGATTAGAATCGCTTAACCATCCAGCAAAATTCTGAACTTAGGTGAATTTCACCGCTTATCGTATGGTTCTCATATCTTAGTGTGTTCTCATATTTTAGTATAATAAAAAAAATAACTTATATTAATAATGTCAGTTCTTAATTCTATTACAGCGCGAAAGAAAACAACGAAAATTGTATTCAGATGACTGGGCGCTCGGAGATGAAGACATCGAAGGGGCGCGAGTTTTCAGCGTCTATGAAAAATTGGAATCTTGTGAGTATATTTAAATTTTATAAATGCACTTGCACTTCAAACTTTGTTAATCTCATTCAAAGAATAAACGAAAATATATTTGGTATATGAATGTTAATAAAAAAAATATGATGTAAAACATCTTCACGAGTACGTACATGGATAAAATCTTACAAAGCATAACGTTCAGTTAACAAGGAAATGATTTTAAAGCATTTTTATTTTTCCATATACATTTCGACATATAATTTTATGCCATTATCAGTAGATTTGAACAATTTGGGGAACAATCATAAAATAATAAAACTCGTAACACTAAAGCTATCAGTAATTATTCGGATTATTTAATGACTATAGTAATAGCTTTAGTACTATTAACATTTAACTACTCTAAACGCAACCGAAGCAAAATCGAAATGTTTAATCTTCAATATATGTATATATTAGGCATAGATATTAGAGCCGTTCGATTTGTATGGGTAAAAATTTCGCATAGGCACATACGATTTTCGGATACTAGGGATCAAAATAAGATACTTTGCTGAAGGAACCATACCTCTAAAATGAATTTCTGATGTCCCGTGCATTGATCCAAAAATAAGGGTTGAATTTTGAAAAAAATCGTTTTGGCTCATTTAGAGTGACCCAATCGCGTCCAAATGCAAGACCGACCCCCACTAACTTCGAAAGGCCAATCCACCCATATGCCCATCGTTCACCACTTAAAGGTCTGCCATACAAAAATTGCAAAAATTCATTTTTTTTTTGTATTATACTCAGCAAAAACTGTTTTTTCGGTTATTAATTCATACATACACAAAAGAACTTTTTCACAAAAACAATATTAAATTCTTTTTATCAATTTGTCCAATGCATTTCGTCTATAGATAAGTATATACGTCGAATTAAAAAGTATACATTTAACCCTCCTATAACGCGGTAAATTCGTACCACGTGTGATATGGAAACCGTGTTACAGCAATGTCGGATTTTACATACAAACCAGGCTAATTTGTAGTGCGTTGTTCTATGGAATCCGGCTATCGCGTTATATGGGAACCAGTAAGAAACTCAGATTTTCAATTATTGTTTTTATTGAATTGAAGAGTTCATATAAAGATATGATAAAAATATAAATTGTTTTTATTGAATTGAATAGTTTATATAAAGATGTGATGATGAATATAAAAAAATAAATTGTTGTATTCATACCAGGATATGTTAAAAAACGAAACAAAAGCTAAACTATAAAAGATAGGTATTAATGTAGTATATTTATGTAATGTACTTTTTTATATAAAATGAAATAAAAAAAAAACTGAAACAAAAACAAACTAAAACCGATGTAGTGCACAGCTATGATGTAAACTGGCATGTTTATATAAATATATTTTCAAATTTCATCGTAGGGTAAGTTATTGTAATCGTTCAAAAATCGAAATTGAAAATTTTTACATTTCTTCACGTTTTGAAGGTTTCTGAACATTTTGGCATACCTCAGAAAAAATGTATGTGTGTGTGTATGTATGGATACAATTTTTCGTCCGCGTTTTCGGGCGCACAGATCAACCGATTTGATTGGTTCGAAAAACATTCAATTCGTAATGACAGGGAGAAGTGGTGTTTAGTTTTTGACAAAAGCAGGCCCAGCCGCCTTGAAGATACCGAGCTAAATGTGCAAAAAATGACAGTTTTTGAGAGAACTAAGCAACCGATTTGAATGATTCAAAAAACTTTCTCTTTGTTTTGACAAAATAATTGCTTTTGGGAAAAAAAATTTTATGTATCGAAAATAATTCAGATTTTAATTTTAATTATGGCTAAAGTTCTAAAGCACACTTATATACTTTAAATAAATAATTTTAACTTTTTAATTCAGTTTATATAATTCTTATAAATATTAGACAGTGTTACAATATTTATATTAATCTATTTTAAAACATTTAATATTCTTCGAACATTTCGTGACGGTACGGGAAGTTCCAGCAATTTGCTTTAAAGCACGATGCCATACACAACTAGTTCTGATGGGCTGATAAACAGAATTCGTACTATAGGAGTACCGTGTTATTGGAGGGCTGTCGCAATTTTACCTCTGCGTAACATGGGAACCGCGTTTTCAGAATACCGCTTTATATTAGTTATTCATTGTTCTTCACTTCAATTGAATGATGTCACGTATCAAATGCTGATATGTATAAATAAATAAAATTGTCTTCATTTTTTTATTGGTCATTTAATTAATACTAATATATTTAATAAATATTGATCATTTGACTTAAATTTCATTCATTTATAATTTCTATCCTTTTTAAGCTAAATTCGATAAACCAGACATGATCCTGGAGATGCACGGCAGCGATCTGACTGTGGAATATCTTCAGAGACACGGTTTCAACACACCTCTGTTGTTTCGCGAAAAGACAGGTCTAGGACTTCGGGTGCCCACGAAGAATTTCACAATCAACGATGTCAGAATGTGCGTCGGAAGTCGCAGGGTCCTCGAAGTTATGGACGTCAATACGCAGAAGAATATACAGATGACCATGAAAGAGTGGCAGAAGTCAGTAAATATGATAATAATCATAAATGTAATATAAAGTTAGATTATTGTCTACCAATTCTCGGGTAAAATAGGTATAACGAAAATACCTATATTATCAATAATTAATATATTATAATAAAATATATAGTTGTAATTCTATGTTACGGGTCTATATTCGTATGAGTTGGTAGTAACGAACTCTGAAAAAGCAATGTGTCTGCTGTGCGATCAGGCGTTTTACACATAAAACTTAACCTACAAAACGTACAAACGGCGAATAACAATTTGTTCGTAAATGCAACTTTCTGATGTCCATTGGATAACACATACGTGAAGTTAAGTTCTAAGTGTAAAACGCCTGATCGCACAGCAAATACATACAGCTTGTTGTCAGTTTGTTACTCTCGATTCATACGAAGATCGACCCATAAGGGGGCGTCCATTAATCACGTGTGGCTTTTAGGGGGATGGAGGGGGTTTGACAAAAAATCACGTAAGGGAGCGAGGGGTCTAGTAAGATATCACGTTTATTTTTTTTAACCTAGATTTTAAAAAAAAAACAAGTTTTACATTTTTTCGTAAACTCGAAAAATTTGTTCGGAAAATTTTACGTAACTAAAAATACACGTGATGTTTGTCGGGGGAGGGGGGGGTTTAATTCTCAATATCATGACGTATCCCCAAGAGGGAGGAGGGGTCCAAAATCCCTAAAAAATCGATCATGTGATTAATGGACGCCTCCTAAAATAGTATTACTATAACATACCTTTTATCAAAGAATTGGCTACTCAATTTTAAATTTATAACAATATTCTTAATTGTTATTGAAATCGAACATGAAATTTTAAAATCAAATAGATTTTTGCTACCTTACAACTGTGGATGTTTGTTTAGTAGCATGTATGTGTATCTATGTATGATTGGATCATGGATTTTTCAAGGCAATGGATGAATCTATTGGAATTTAAAAAAAAATCATTAAACGACCTGCAGATTTTTTTGGTTTTTGAGAAAGGCAGGTCTACAGTCGTTTTGCCAGAGATGGCAAAAAAGTGGATATCGTACATAAGAATCAAATTAATAATTATGATACATTTTCTTTATAGTATACACCTGCAATTAGTCCAGTCATTGAAGCTTAAATTAGGTAAGATTCTCGGAATTCGGGATACCCAGCTGTAAGTCTGTAAATACTTGTACATTGACACTCTAAAGTTGTCTCAAAACCTACATATGGTAGGGTGTCAATACCATATGTAGGTTTTGAGACAACTTTACGATGTCAATTACAAGTATTTACAGACTTACAGCTGGGTATCTCGAATTCCGAGGGGAGCTTACTATAATGACTGGACTGCATAGTGAATTGAAACTCGCCAATGTGTTCTTTCTATCATAATTTGCAAAGTTTTGCTGTCACATTTAATCAAAATATTTTCAAATATTCAGAAACATCGAAAGATATTGGGAATAGTTTTTGATAATTTGGGATCGATCGGAATTCGATTTTTCACTTGATTCAATTTTCAAAATCAACTCCGTGAATTTTAACGATAACCAAGTATTTCTTCCACAAAAATAACAAGTAGATATAGTATTTTTCGAAAAAAAAAAGGGAAAATGTTGGGTGCTTCCAAAAAAGATATTTATTTTTATGTCCAAACATGGCCCATTTTTGACTCTAAAGGTGGCGTCGGGGTCCAGTAGACACCTAATGTACGAAAAGGGTTAATTTAAGGGGGATTCTGCTTTAGTCTTAAAAAAGCGATTTTTTTGCAAAAATGTCCTCCAAAGCTAGCCAAGAATATATCCCTAAAATTTCAGGAACAAATTTAAATTATTTTTGGAACTACAGAAGAAATAGTGAGCAAGCGCCAAGCATGTATACGAGCGGAATGAAAACTTCAACGCACGATTTTTCGGTTTTTAATGTTTTCTTGCTAATTGGCGGGAAAGATAGGAAAAAAACTGATCGTCCTATCGAAACGAGACAAAATTTATTGTATTCAGGATTAAATTCTATTCTAGTTGAACCTAAAAAAACTTTAAAAATGTTATAATTAATCCACTTTTTAAACAGCCTAAAGTGAAATTTTTAATCAAAAAACATGATTTTTTTTCAAGTTGCGAAAAATTGGTGTATTTAATACTTTTTTCTCGATTTTTTAGGTTCAACTAGAATCTATACTGTTGAAAATATATATTTGTTTTGATTTTTTTTTTGTTTCGGATGGAAATTATGACCTGCATCTTTCCCGCCAAATGACACTCGCATGCTCGTTGCGCATCGGCAAAATCTTTGTACCTGGCACATCGCATCGACATATATTTTAATGAAAAAAATTGAGAATAATGTTAAAATATATAACAATAAAATCCAAAAGTTTCGTTTCGAATGAATATTTATTTCCTTCCCTAAAATTTTTTAAAAAAGCGTTTTTTTGAAGCCTCTAAAGCGGGATTATCCCCCCTTAATTCATTGTAGTGAAACTCATTATTAATTTTATTCATCTATCTTTAATTAAGAAACGATATAGATTTCATTTGTAGAAATGTTGTTTTTTGTATATTCTACAGATATTACGAAGATCCAGACAAGAAAGAACTCTTAAATGTAATTTCCCTGGAATTCTCTCACACCAAATTAGAGAATTACATTCAATCGCCGACCGTTGTTCGGCAAATTGATTGGGTCGATGTGGTTTGGCCTAGAAGATTAAAAGAGAGCCAAACAGAATCTACAAATCTCATAGACGAAATGATGTATCCAAAAGTTCAAAAATATTGTCTGATGTCTGTGAAGAATTGTTACACCGATTTTCATGTCGATTTTGGCGGCACGTCTGTGTGGTACCATATTTTAAAAGGTCAGTAAGATTTATTTAATAGTTAGTGGTTATTTGTTGAAAGTAGTAATTGTTATATATATTTTTAACTATCAGAATAGAATAATACATCCGGATCTCGTTTTGCGTTTTTTTCTAACTTGCGTCGTTGGATCTTCGAAGTTGTCTTATTTTAGAGAATAAAATTTTTCAAAGAACGAAATTTAACCTGCAAACAAATATCCAAATTGATGTGTTCGATTGATAAATCAGTAATGAATTTTTTTTTTCAAATCTTCATGCAGAAGAAGTTTTAACCCTTTCCACTCGCTAATTCCGAGATTCATATGAATTTTTCTTGCATCCGAGTGGAAAGGGTTAAAGTGTCTCAGGCGTTAGTTACGAATATCAACTGCTAAAAGGACATTTCTTTTACATTCAGAAGAACATTGCTCCAATTTTTTGTGAAGGAGCGATGATTTACAACAGCCGCAATGGATTTATCAGACGGTCAATAATAATTATAGGTCTATTTTTCATATTATTAATTTATTTTTGATCAGGTTAGTATCTTTTAGACGTTTGCTTTATCAAATATTCTTTTTGAAATGTATTATTTTTGTAACCATGGAACCATGTCTTTGATCTTTTCCTTTTTTTTCTTGGAACGTAACCACGACGCAAAACAAGATATGGCTGTACTTAAGTTTTTATCTTTTATCATATTGCCTTTAATTTAATTCGTCATCTTGATTTTTATTATAGGCAGTAAAGTATTTTGGCTAATACCCCCAACAGAAGACAATCTACAGAAATATGAAAAATGGGTATTATCAGGAAAACAATCCGACGTATTTTTTGGCGACCAAGTAGAAAAATGCGGACGTGTAAAGGTAAATTTGGAACAGTAATTGATTTTTTGGGTGATATGTAAATCAATTAACAGTTTATAATTGCAGTTAACAGAAGGTAACACATTTTTTATACCTACCGGCTGGATTCATGCCGTCTACACGCCATGCGATTCTTTGGTGTTCGGTGGTAATTTTTTGCATTCATATGGAATAGTAAAACAGCTGAAAATAGCACAAGTTGAAGATTCTACAAAGGTTAGTTTCTTTTTATTCATACTCTTATCAAAGTGATTCACTAGAAATGATTGTTTTTTGATGTTCACAAAACTGTGCCTCAAGGCACCTCTGGCTAAAATGCTATTACTACTTATTATTAATAATTTATGATACATTTTAATAAAATTGTATTTAAAAACATGTATATTATTTATTGTACAATAGGTTCCGCAAAAGTTTCGTTACCCATTTTTCACGGAAATGTTGTGGTATGTATTGGCGCGTTATGTGCACATTCTCTTAGGGAAAGATCATCTCTATGATGAAAAAAATGAAAATGATATGGAAGAAGAGGAAGATAGACATGATTCTAGTGCATTTTTAAATGGAAAACCTCATGTCCATTTAACAAAAATGGAATTGCATGGACTTAAGGTTCGATTTTAATAATAATATGAAAAAACAGTTGCAATAATGATTTAAAAATTTTAAGTCTTTTTTCTTGTTGATATTTAACTAATTTTCTTTGTTTCAGGAAATTGTTACATTCCTTCATTTACTACCAAATCATAAGAAATCTCTTCCAGAATTACTACGTAATGCAGTAGCTTTAATAAGGGACGTCAGGAAAGTTGTTGAATTACATTTTTGTGATAATGCCGAATTGGCAATTACTGGTAGACCAGTACTCACACGTAAGTTTGTTAAAAAAAATGTATGAAGATAATTTATTTCGGATTTTTCAGTTTTATTTAGTTTAGATCATTTTTTATAATATTATATTTATATTATACCATATTTTAGCTCTAGATTCTCCTTATGGAAATAATCTACAACATCCATCTGGAGGTAGTTACGTAAGCAATCATTATCTTCATGAGAAAAGACTTCATAACAATTTAACTCCGGTCAGAAGCGTCGGTAGACCGCCAAAAATTACATACGATAGTGAAGGAAATCCTATTCCACATAGAGGGCCAGGAAGGCCGCCAGGTTCTAAAAAGAATCCTAATAATTCATCTTCGTCTTCAATTGGTCATCATAATAATTCTGGTTCTAGTCCAAATATGGATAAGAATGGCGGACCTAGGAGACGTAGAACGAGGTAAATTAACATATCTTATAGTTTATCATGTTATTATAGTTTTAATTTTTTTTTAACTATCTAAAGGAGTAGTTTCTTTTCGCCAGAAATCCGGCTTGCTAATTTTTTCTTGGCGTTTTGTCCTTCTGAATCGTACGCGACCAAAATCGGATAATGTTGCGTTTGTGTTGTGTGCCCGCATTTTTTCGTTCACGTTTCTGGGCGCATGGATCAACGATTTGAATGGTTTCATTCAAACATTCGATTCCTATTGATAGGGAGATGTGCAGATTAGTTTTTGGCAAAGGCAGGTTCAGCCGTTACGGAGATACTAAGCAAAGAGCGCAGAAAATAGAAATCGAGTTTTTTAGAGAACGGATCATCAGATTTGAATAATTTAAAAAGCATTCAATTTGTAATGATGGGGAGAAGCGGTGATTAGTTTTGGCAAAAGCAGGCCCAGCCGTTTTGGAGATATAGAGCTAAATGTATAAAAATAGCAGTTTTAAGACAAATAAGCATCCGATTTGAATGATTCAAAAAACTTTCTGCTTGTGTTTACGAAACAATTGCTTTTGGGGAAAAAATTCTTTCATTTAACCACTTGATTTAGCCGATTTTTTTTTAATTATTAGGAAGTTCATTCAGCTAGCCTTAAGGCAAAATGATACTTACACCTACTTAGATTTGTGTTTTGTTCATTATTTGCAGTTATTTGACATAAAAAAATTATAAGCATTACTTTTATGTTTCAGGTGCAAAAAGTGTGAGGCTTGTCAACGTTCCGATTGCGGCGAATGTACTTTCTGTTTGGACATGGTGAAATTTGGTGGTCCAGGTCGCGCTAAGCAGACTTGCAATATGCGCCAATGTTTACAACCGATGTTGCCTGTTACCGCCGCTTGCGCACTTTGCGGCCTGGACGGATGGGGAAGACCTCCGGTCGCAACGTCGCAGCAGGTCAGTCTAGTTTAAATGTATCTTCTTACAGATTTCTTGCACTAAATTGAAACTGACTATAGCGATACCCCGACATGCGATTTTAAATTATTCCGTAATTGAGCTTCTGTACCTCTTATCCAATAAATTTAAGAATTTAGACCAGTGATTTCCAAAGTGGGTCCATTACACCTCCAATTATCATATTTGATGTGTCATTTTAGGTCAGACCCCTACCCCATCGAGATGGTGCTCTAACAGCTTCCGCATTGATGGAATGTTGCATTTGCTATGAAATTGCGCATCCATCTTGTGTACGAAAGACAATGTCACCAAATTCAATGGGATCGGAAAACGCGGAAGGAGTTGTTAATGAAGATTTACCCAACAGTTGGGAGTGTCCACTGTGTTGCCGTTCTGGTAAAAATGCAGATTACAGGGTAATTTATTTTTATTTTAGTACTCTTATAATAAAATGATTTGTCATATTTTAAAACATATTTTATTCCTTAGCCTCGTCATTTCCGTGCGCGACAAAAGTCTTCTGACATTCGAAGAATGTCAATAAGTAGTGATGCATCTTCTGCAATTGAGCACAAACATATGATTGATAATGATGGTTGCAATAGCAATGGCTCTGAAGACGAAGAAGAAGATGTTAAACCTACTCTACCTATCAAGCAAGAACATGATGATACTGAAATACTCAATTTGGATACCAAAAAAAGAAAAAGTGAAGAAGGTGTTACCATTACAAGCGCTAAAGAAGAACAATCAGAGCCCCCTAGAAAATTAGCTGTACGAATGCAGTTTGCACACCACCTCAGTAGTAATTCAACTAAGGTACTAAAGAAACCCATGTACCCCGTTAGGCCTGGACCTTTAACCCAACCTGTGATATCTCATGGAAATCATTATGCTTTGGACACAAATTGCCTTCTGAAGATATTTGAATATTTGCCACAAAGCGAACTGTTGAGGTGTGCATTGGTTTGCAAAACATGGGCAAAAGTTTCCATAGACCCATCACTATGGAAAGTAATGACAATCAAACAGTGTCGTTTAAGTGCTTCATTACTTTCGGGAATAATTAGACGTCAACCGGAGCATCTAATTCTAGATTGGACTACCATAGCTAAAAGACAATTAATATGGTTGTTGGCTAGGTTACCTACTTTGAAAATTTTAAGCTTACAGGGCAATCCTGCATCAGGAGTCATAGGTTTAAGGACTTGTTATTGTCCTCCAATTCACGATCTAGATTTGAGTTTCGTACAAAGTTTTAATGATGCTGCTTTACGTGATATCTTATCTCCACCTCTTGATTCAAGACCAGGTTTGGCTGATAGCAAAACTCGGTTAAGACATTTACGAATTTTAAAATTAGCTGGTACAGACATAAGTGACATTTCTTTAAGGTACATCACTCAAAATCTCCAACAAATAACTAATTTAGATCTTAGTTCTTGTCAGAGAATTACGGACGCGGGGATTGCACAACTTGCTACAACAGAATGTACAATAGTGAATCTTAAAAATTTAAATTTAAGTGGTTGTAAGTTAATCACAGAGTTGACATTAGAACATTTATCTAGATGTCAACAATTATCTTGCCTCGATCTCAGGCACGCCCCACAAGTGTCAACACAAGCAGTAATCAAATTTGCTGCAAAGTCAAAATTAGATTTGCAATGTTTAGATGTGAAACTAGTCGACAAAAGACGCAATAAGCAGACGTAAAGTT